AGGACAGGTAGGAATAAACCAGGTGGATTATAAGAATATGGCTAGGGTAGATACCTGGTAGCGTGGCCTGGTGGTCTGGGGCCAGCTAGATGCAGTGCAAATTTATACTCACTGACTTAAAAATCAGGACAGCAAAGCCCCAAAACGAGAATTCCAAACTTGACTCAATTCAGTCTCCCAGGGCATGGTGTCTGGGTACACAGACTTCCCTCCTAGAATGCACAGTCTTGTTCAACTATCTGCTTATCTGCATTTTGAAGAGGGAAAATCAGTCAGGAAAAAAATGCACAAGACTACAAACGTTTATTAAATTCTTCCTGTGTAAACATTGGGAATGAAAAGGTAATAGTCCCTGTCCTCAAGGAGCTCACTTTCTAATGCAGGAGAAAAAAGTTAGGGTGTGTGTGTGTGTGTGTGTATTGGGGTGGGGATGGGGTATCAATTAATCATTAAAAAAATAAACAACTAAAGCAATGGAAATGTTTGGAACATTCAAGCACATATCAAAAAAATGCAAAAGTGAACGTAACGAAATTATAAAGATCAAGCATGACTTGAAGGAAGAGATGTGAGAGAACACACCCGATCCACCACTTCATGGAGGTGGGTGGTCCACAGTTGCTGCTTATTGCACTTGCTTGTTTTCAGACTTTTTCTATGTGTTGATGAATAATGCTGATTTTCCCCCTTTTTCTTTTGTTTTTCCCAGTCTTGAAAAAACGCTATTTGTCATATAGGATGACTCTCAGGGAAAGGAAGGGATACTGGGAAAAACTATGAGGATGTGAAAATAAAATTAATAAAAACTTTTAAAAAAATAAACAGAAGAGAGCAGAAGGGAATACAGACCAAAAACAAAAACCTAGGCTATACTTAATGAAGAAATAACTGTATGTAACATTAGTTCACAGTTTCATTTTTGTTCATATATCATGTTTGCTGATTTTTGTTAAGTTCACAGTAAAAATAGAAAATTTTTTTTTTAAATCTGGAGCCTAGTCATTAGTAATGACTCGGGAATGTCAGTTGTCCTCTTTACAAGGTATTAATGGGCGTATCTCATACTTTTTAGAGAAACAGACTAATTGGCCAGGAAGCACCCCTATGAGCCCCTATCACACATTTTTTCAATGGAATTACAATAGATGATGCCTATTCTCTATAACAAGTGTCATTTTTAAAAATTTCAGATGCTAGAAAATATCCAAATCATATTTGAAACAAATAGCAAAATCACAGTATGACATCTTGCTTGAAGTCTCAGCAATGACAGTTTTTAGTGAGAAAGGAGAAAAAACAATTGAGTTTTTTTTTATTAAATTCATTGAGCTTGCACATTTTAAAGTTCTTGCCATTATTTCATCTGAAACTGCAGGGAAAATTCGAACAAGCAGAATACACAGTTGTATTTGAAATAAAAATTTATAGAAATATTAATGGTCTCAAAAACCAAAAGAGATTAGAGACATTAGTTTTATGATTGTTCTAAGGCCAACTTAAATGGTGAGAACCATATTTACCACGAAGTAGGGCATAGCCTCAGTGTTAGCATAGAGAGGAAAATTTAATCATATCCTTAATCATGTCTTTAAATCTTAACATTTTGATTATGAAATTAACAATCATCAGCAAACACAAACATTTCAGTAAAGAACAACAAGAATCTTGTCTGAAGTACAAGAATGTGTATTTCAGTTACAGCAAATGTATTCATTCATTTTGCTTGGTTATATATTTTTATTTCAAGGAAGAAAATTCTATGGGAGGAGGGCATGGAGCGAGTTAGTGGATAGTGATAGAAATGCAACAAGAGAAAAAAAAGCATCTGAATATTCAATTCTTGCAAGATTTGGATTTTCATATTAAAAAGTCTTCTAATGGAAGACTTCCCATTAGCCCCAAACTTTATTTCAGCATTATCCTGGATTCTTCACCCTCACCCTACATATCCAAATATCACCAGTTGCCAGTTGCCAAATATTGCCATTTTTACTTTCACAACATTTCTCTCATCTGTTACTTCTCTTCTCCTCTCTTCCTTCACTTGTCTGACTATCACCATTCTCATCTCTTCCTTCACTCACTCAGCTACCATCTTAGTTCAGGCCCTCATCACTTCTTGCCTGGATTATTGCAACAGTCTCCTAATTAATTTCTTTGCCTTGTCTTTCTTCAGTTTAGTCTCCTTCATATTGCCAAAGTAATTTTCCTTAAGCACAAATTGAATCAATTAACTCAAGTGGTTCCCTCATGCCTCTAGGATCAAACATAAACTCCTCTGTTTAACTTTTGAAGCCTTACGTAACCTGGTTTCCTTACATAAGCTTTCCAGCTCATTGGACAGCATTTTCCCTCCTATACAAGGGATCCAGTTAAACTAGGCTTCTGTGTGTTCATCAACAGTTGTCATGCCTTTGCATTGGCCATGCCACCTACCTCTAATGCACACTGCCTAATGCCTCACAGAAACCCTCTCTTCCTTTAAGATATAGCTCAGGCAGGAAGTCATTCCTGATTCCCCCAAATGCTAGTTCTTTCCCTTCCAAGTTACCTTGCATTTAACTACTTTGTGTGTGTTCTTGTATGTATTAACTTTATGTTTATGCTATATATATTTGTATGTGTCCTTATAATCTCCCCCATTAGAATGTAAGTTCCTCGTGAGTAGGGATTGCTTTATTCTTTGCACTTGTGTTCCCAGCACCTGGCACACAGTGTCTGGTATGTTACAGGTGATTAATAAACACCTGCCAATTGAGTCCACAGGCTCAGCCCCTGATTTCTGTTGATTTTGGCCTTGATATTTGCTCTCACAGGACAATGTCCAGCTTTTCAACTTCCTCAGATTTCTATAGAGCTACATGTATTTGAAGCTTAAAATGCTTTATTTTAAAGGGCATACCTTTGATAATTATTACTCTTGTTCAGTCATTTTAAAAGAAAAGACCTATTAAATGGGAAAGTATTTACTAGCTCACATTCATAAAGACCTTTAGGACTTAGGAAGCCTGTTCTCCACAATAGCTCTGTGAGGTAGCACAAATATTATCTATCCTCATATTTCAGATGAGGAAATCAAGATACATGAAAGTGAAATGATTTGCCCATGGTGGTGCAGCTTTTAAGTGTCAGAGTTAGGATGAAGAAGCAGATTTCTAGAGTCCAGATCCAACATGCTTTCCCCCATTCTAGTCAGTCAGTCATTCTGTCAGTAAACATTTATTAAGCACCGACTGTGTGCCAAGTACATAGTGCTAAGCACTGGGGATATAAAGAAAGGCAATAATAAGACAAAACAAAAAAACCACAAAGCCACCCCTGCCTTTGAGGAGCTCAGAGACTAAGGGGAGACAATCATGTACAAAAGAGTTAGGCAGAATAAACTGGAGATAATCAACAAAGGGAAGGCACTAGTGTTAAGGGGGATCAGGAAAGACTTCTTGTATAAAGTGGGTTTTTAGCTGTGGCTTAAGAGAAGCCACAGAAGCCAAGAGGAAGAGACAAGGAATGAGAGAATTCTAGGTTTGAAGGACAGCCAGTGAAAAATGTTTCGTTCAAGGACTCAAGTCATCTAATCGCCAAATTGAAAAGTGTAGAGTAATTGTATTAGAAAATCAAGTCTAGTCTGGCAAAATTCAAACTATTGAACAAATCAAAATTTAGAATTACGTCCACCATCACCCCTGCCCCCCCCTCCATTCTTCATAAAGAGTAGTCAATTGGAAGCTACTCAATGAATATATGAATATCCATTCAAAAAGATAAAGTTCTTTCTACAAAGAGCACTTCTTTCTTTCTCTTTTCCCATGCTCCAGGGGCAAGTTGAAAAGTTCCCAAAGAGGGGCAGCTAAGTGGTGCATTCAATAGAGCACCAGCCCTGGAGTCAAGAGAACCTGAGTTCAAATCCAGCCTCAGATACTTACTAGCTGTGTGACCCTGGGCAAGTCACTTAAACTTGATTGCGCCCCCCCCAAAAAAAAAGTTCCCAAAGTTTAGTTAATTCTCTATGTGTGCAGTAGATAAGAACAAATGGGCAAGATCAATACAAATAAGAAAATTTACCATCAGCAATCAAAAGGTTTCTAGCTGCAGCTCAGTTGCAGAAGACAAACCCTCCAGCAGTCATAGCTTTATAGTTCTATATATAGCTGTAAAGTTTGCTCAATGTTTCCTTTGCAACAGGCCTATGAAGTGGGTATGAATATCCTTGTATCCATTCAACATGTGTGGAATGCCACTCAAATAAAAAAAAAAAAAGAGGTATCCAAGGAGAAACGGAAAGTTAATTTATTATTATTATTTCAAATCTCAAGATTTGGGTGTCCCTCCACCAGTATACTCTGATGAGGGGAGACAAAGACACAGAAACAGAGAGCCAGGTTAAATAGCCCTAAGGAGTAAATTCCCCTTCCCACTAGCTGTCCCTTAGCCAGGCCACCATGGCAGAAAGATGGTCTACAACTGTTTTGGAAGGTCTGAGAGATTGAATAGACAATGGGGATAGATAATGGAGGGAACTGGAAGGCATCTGAGCAAGGTCCTTTCAAAGGGAGATAAGGGGAGTAGATAAGAAACCTTTTAAGAGTTTTCTGGAGCCAGATTCTTTTTAGGGGCAAAGGCACATCTGAATAAGATTAAAAGGTAGGCTAAGGCTTAACAACTAGACAAATTTTAACTACTGATATGTGGCACTAAAAAAAAACTTACAGAAATCTGTACTTAACTCTATCTTACCTTCTGAACTTATTACCAGATTTAGGATAGTCTTATCCCAAACCTTAATTACACTGAGAAGTCTTCACTGGGAAATCCCATTCAAACAGATGAGAAATCAGAGGCTCAATCAGCAAGGTTACATGATTTATCACTTAGTCAAGTAAGTGTCCAAGGTAGACTTCAAGCCAGGATCTCTAGCCTCCAGGCCTAACCCTCTTTGCACTATCCTACCCAGACTTAGGAGGAGGATATGCTTTTCAAATTCTTTCTGCTTCATCCCACAGGTGGATGCTGTGCGTGTCTATGTGAACAGCTCGTCTGAGAACCTCAAGTATCCTGTCCTCTTCGTGGTTCGCCAGCAAAAAGGGGTGCTGTCCTGGCAGGTGCCTCTGCTCTTCCGAGGATTGTAAGTGATTGTTCCTCCGTAGAGGATGATGGCCTTAGGTTTCCTCCACTGACTACTAGACCTCAGAACTGGCCTTTGCTTCACTGCAAGAGAAAGTAAGATAAAATCATTGTATTGTTGCCACTTTATATAAGCTAAGTACAAATACATTGGGTACGCAGGGATCTAGAGAATACATATTTTCTGTCTGGCCAACTTCATATTTCCGTTCTGTTTGCTTTTCAGACATGCATAAAAGCCTATGTGGTTCTACAGAGCTCTGAAAGAAAATTTTTTTCAAAATGTTCTGTATCTCAAATGGGGGTAATGATTCATTCTCTGGATATACCAGTAAAGAGATCTGGGCCGGTGTCCCAAATGCCTGCTGTATGCTGGGCACCATAAAACTTGGCTGTTCTGGTGAAATATAGGTATAACGCAGCAAATGGCCAGATTAAATAGGTATGGGCTTAATGTGCTGGACAGGCCTGAACAAGACTTGTATTCCTAACTTCCCTGAATTTACTTCATGTCAGAAGTCTCAATGACACTGTTCTCAAAAAGACATCTTGTGTTTCAGTCAGAAATATAAAACCTAATGAAGAAAAAATGTATTTTGGAAGGAGTAAAATTGGAAAGATTTTTTTCTTACTGCCTGTTTACTGAACCTTATTATTCTTGTTTCTGCTTTTTCTCCCCCCCTGCTATGGGGGCTACAGGTACCAGAGAACCTATAACTACCAGGAAGTGAGCCGAACATTGTGCCCTTCTGAACCCACCAATGAAACAAGACCTTCGGAGCAACTCATATTTGTAGATGTAGCGTCCATGGCTCCCCGAGGGGCCCAGTACAACCTGCTCGTTACCAAAATCAAGAGCTTCCAGCTGCAGTAAGCAGGATTCATTATGGTCCTCCTCTCTTTCTCTGCCAGATCAATGTTGTGTATGAGTGTGTGTATGGATTTGAGTTTTGATTTTCATAGAAAAGCTTCCATTTTCTGAAAGTAAATCATCTTCTCATTAGCAACCTAAGATCCCACAGTTGAAGAACCAGTTCCCAGACTCTTGATAATAGGAAGATAGTTGGAACCAAATAGAATAGTGAGGTCAACATGACTTGTAAAGGAGCATATAGTTTATTCATGTCTAAAACTCTGATGTTTTTCCAAATAAGATTACATATTTGACATGTTACGCAATCTGTCTTTGCTGCTTCCGAAGTTAATTAGATGGAAGACAGGGTATAATTAGGAAATATGTACTGTAAGAATTCTAATGATAAATTATTATAAAACATTTATGTGATTATACCAGATTTGTCACCTATAAATTTGGGTTTGCCAGGCAAACCCTACAGAGATTGATTAATTCTTTCTATGTATTATACCTAGAATTCAAGTAACTGCTACTAGTTGAATGGTTATAGCGATTTAAACCAATTGCCTAGGCTTTCCCAAAGCCTAGTTAGCTGAGGTTTAAAGCATTTAACTTGGGATCCAATCATTTATTGCCTTTTGTATGAAACTTGGGTAGCTGGGTGGTACAGTAGATAGATTACTGGGCCTGGAGTCAGGAAGATCTGAGTTTAAATCCAGATACTTAGTAGATATCAGCAAGTCATTTAACTTCTATTTGCCTCAGTTCCTCATCTGTAAAATGGAGACACACTGGAGAAGGAAATGAAAAACACTCCACTGTCCTTGCCAAGAAAGATAAAGTCAATAGGGCCACATAGAGTTGGATGCGACTAAATGACTGAACAACATAAAAATTTAATTTTTTGTTAAGAAGCCATAAAAATTATCTGTTCACTAATCAATAACATCTCCATAGTGAATTTGTCAAGATAAAAATATAGAGCAATTTTAAAGGAAATATAAAAAAGTGCATGTTTTAGCACCATGAAAGAACAGCCTGAACCCAGCAGGTCAGGAGAAACAGCTGGCTTCCACCAACATCCCACCTGGCACATGGACTTACTTCAGCCTGCTCTTTCCTCCTGCTTCAAATTCTTCCTAGTTTTTGGTCTTGATATTACCTTTGTTCTGGCTCTCTGGCCCTGAAATTAGCTGGCAAGGCTACAGTTCCTCAGCCCTCCAGAATCTGCTTTTCTAGTCCTCAGTTGTGTGATACGGGAGTCTGGGGTTTTCCTTAGAGTCCTTACCTCAGTCATTCTCAGGATACCTCTTCCTGAGTCCTCTCCTCAGCACACTGGAGCCTCTCACCCTTTCAGAACCAAAATGCAAACGGACTATTCCCTGTCTGGGTGCTAATACTACCTTCCCCAATTTTGAGCTTTAGCCTTGACCATCTCATTCTTCCTCTAGATGGTCTCCATGCTTTATCCCTTTGTGAAGCTGTTTGCACGCCCTGTTACTTTAGGGATGGTTCCCTGAGGCAAATTTTACTAGTCTAATATATTTGGCTGCTTTGGCCTTTGATGGGTAAGTCACTTCTCATATCTGTGTCCTACAAAATCCAGACCTGCTGGTCTGAATGCACAGTTGGTGCCTCTGAGTTTTGGTAACCATGTTTTCATCATATGGCTTCTCATTCCAAACCAACTGGCTCTCAAACTCTGAATTAGGAGCAGCCATGGCATGCTGGGAAGAATCCTGAACCTGGGGTCAATGGTGCAAATCCTTGCTCTGCCATTTACTGCCTAAGTGACCTTGGACAAGTCACAACTTCTGTGACCCTTGGTTTCTTCACCTGTAAAATGATAGAGTTGGATTAGATCATCTCCAAGTTCTCTTCCCCTTGTAAATCCTATGCCCCTGTGCTGCTAGATGAGCTTTCCCATGAGCTCCCTATTATTAGCGGAGCTGACAAATACACCCTAGATTCAATAGAAACTGAGACCTTTTTCATGTTTTCAGATCAAGATCATATACCTTCCAAGTACGAGTCAAAGTGTTTGGGACCCTCCTCCCTGGGTGTGGATCCTGAAGACTAGATGTTGTTACAACATTAAAGATAATAAAACATGCCTGGGCATTCAGCGATGCCACATATTCTCACTCCCCAGTCACTGGGCAGGGTCATTTCATCATAGGTTAATTAGGTACCTTTTTTTTTGCTAGATAATGACTGTTAAAAATTAATGCTTAACTCTTTCAGGAAAACTTTTACATTCTCCTACTTACAGTGTTAAAAAATGTAAGTGGCTTCACAGCAAGTCCCTAATATGTCTTCTCTGGCTAATGCTTTATAACCTAGTCTCTTGATGTTAACGAGTGCTCAGTTCTACCTAACTAGCTGTGATCTTAGAATCTCAGAATTTACAGGTGGAAAGGACCTTCAGGGTCATCTAATACATTCTACAGATGAAGAAGTTGGTCTCCCCTTGATTAAGAACATTTTTGCTTCTTTCACAAAATAGAAAAGTACATATTATATGTCTTTGCTCTTACTCTGTGCAAAATCATACTTTTTTTTTTCAGTTGGGAGAATTTTCCAAGGGTCCCTCTGGTCTACATGGTCCTCTCTTCTGCTGCTTTATAGAGTTTATATTCAACAAAAACTTAGGAGTATACATATTATCTCAGAGCTCCCAGTTAGTAAGTTACTCTTACTGAAGTCACCTAAAAGAAGGCGAAGCATAGCAATAATGGTTAAGTGACTGGGAAGAAAGACAATCAGCAAGCATTTATTAAGTACCTACTATATGCCAATAGGAAAATGTCTACTATTTAGGCAGAAATTTGGCTTTCTGCTCTAATTTTATGTTAATCTCTAACCTCTAGTTTCATTATAGTTGAGGTAAAAATCAATTTACTAGAAACATCAGAGTAAAAAATTAGTAGAGTCTGTTAGAGTATCTGTTACAGATACAGAGTACTTGCCCCAGACAAGTCATGGAAGGGCAGGTTGGGGAAGGAACAGATCTTTCATTGGAACTTCCTTCAGCCCTTGAAGAGATTGGTACAAGTGGGTAGTTTCTGTCCAAGTCGTCTCCTCTAAGACTCCAGTGGGGACTGAGAGCCCTACTTCATTCCTCCTTTCTCTGCTAGAGCTCAGCCCCACTTTCCCCCCCCTTCTTTTTTTTATTGTCCCATGCCTCCAACTCTGTACCTTATCACTTTGAGTCTATTTCTCATAGATTTTATGTCTCTTTAAGGACTCCAGGTTATGAGTCAAAACCATCTCGCTCAAAGATGGTATAGTCTCAAATCCCTCTCAAGGGTGAGAGGGAAATGCTTGTCCCTCTGAACTAAAAATCCCAAGATGCCAGTCAGTTCTCAAACCACTAAGCATCTCCTAGTAGCATATTTTCCCCATCCCGACTCTGGCTGGAGACTTCTTAAAAGGCTTAATCATTTTTTTCCCCTTTCTCTAGAGCGTTCCAGATATATTTGGACGAAGCAGTTTTAGTTATACCTCTTGGTATTTTAGCACAACGTGCAATCATAGTATACATACAGTAGGAGCTCAATAAATATTTGTTGCATGAACTCATACAAAGGAAAAAGTAACAGGAAAATGTTCTGTGGTTAAAATGCAAGCTAATCACAAGTATTTCCCACGTCCTACTGGATGGATGTTCAGTATCTATTGACTTTGGAAGAGGGAAAAAGAAAGATCTTAGATGAGGGAGCTAAAAGGAAGGAAATGTAATGTTTCTATCTTTGCCTCCCTAGAAAGTTCTTTTTCTGCAGAAGACAGTGGGAAAGAGAAGCCAGAATTAAGAGAAAAGCTAGCAGGGTTTGGATCCTGCTTCTTAGGCAAGTCATTCTTTCTGGGCATCAGAAAACTGAGGGGGCCGGGCTGAGATTCCTTCCAGCTCCAGATACTAGGATTCTGTGCTAAGTCATCCTCAAAATAGAATTGAGGATAAATTGCCAGGAGGGCCTTTTGATCCAGAGTGAAGCAGATGAGTCAGAAGAACCCATTATTACTCTTACTGAAGTCACCTAAAAGAAGGTAAAGTGTAGCAATAATAGTTAAGTGACTGGGAAGAAAGACAATCAGTAAGCATTTGTTAAGTACCTACTATGTGCCAAGTATTATGCAAAGAACTAGGGATACAAAGACAAAAATGAGATAGTCCCTCCCCTCAAGCAACTTACATACTGTGAAGAGAGGGGATATGAAGTGTAATGGCTAAAGAGCTGGCCTCAGAGCATGGGTTCAGGCTCTGTGATTCTGTGCAAGTCACCTCTCCATGATTTAGGCACTTCCTCCCTTTTAACTCATCCACCCAGTACAAATCCACATAGAAATACCTGAGTGAAGAGGAGAAAAAGAAGGAAAAAGAATAGGGAGGACAGGAGAATTGGGCTGTAAGAGTTGAAAAAAAGACATCAAAGAACATTCAGATATCGTTTTACTTCAACCTTACCTAAACATCCTCTCCTAACTATAGTGTTGCAGAAGCAGCATCTTGGAAATTTTTCCAACAGTAGCAGTAAAGGCAGAGATATTAAGACAGGCTTCAGTTCACGGGAAAGGTGAGCTAGCTTTTCTATAACAGAGAGAGAAAGAAAGAGAGAGAACCATTTCTGAATCAAACTGGTATGTGTGTTCTTTTAGGAATATTAACTGACATTATCAACTTCAACGTAAAAGTGGAGAATATTTTGTAAAGCTTAAAGCACTGTGAGCTATCATGGACATTATTCATTGCATGATTGTACTCCCAAGATAAATAATTTGGGTTTTTTAAGTGGCAGAGTAGAATGTACATGTATTCATCTGACAAGTATTTATTAGGTACTAGCTGTATAGCAGGTGTTATGGTCAACACTGAGGACGCAAGGACAAAACAGTAAACCAGACCCTGCCCTCAAGAAGCTTATTTGCTAGAAGTAACATATAGTCACACAAATAAATACAAAAATACAAAATGAAAATAACTTGAGGTGGAAGGGTGGTAGCAACTGATGAGATT